CTTATATGTTCAGATATATATATATATATATATATATATATATATATATATATATATATGTATGTATGGTACAAGAACAAGACTGTACCTGAGTTCGATCAGATCAACCCTTCACGGGGGGTATTATGGTATTGAATCAAGTAAAAAATCAAAATTATTCCCAGAAAGAAAGTAAAGGTGATTCTTTGGGGGATAGTTTTGTGCAGAGCCATGGATGGATTACTACTCCATTGTTTGCTCAAAGTCATCGTCTGTGCCAAAATATCGGTCCCCGAACTCGCCCATCCCGGGAATTACACGGTACTCTTCGTTCAAACCGATTTCAATCTCGGATGTCACTATCTTTATTCTCGGGAATCTTTTGCAGACCACATGAACACCCTGAGGTGCCTGGTTTAATCGGAAAGAGAATCTCAGGCCAATGCAGAAAAATGGAAGAGGTTGCCAGAGAAGTGTTTTCCTGAAAGTTACCGAAATAAGGTTTAGAAATATGATGTTGGACTCTGGCACGCCCTTGCTTATAAGAAGGCTTATAGCTTGAACCGCTGAATTGCCTGAGAAGATGGACAAAGCAAAATCATGTGAATGAATTTATAGTTTAATTTCTCGTTAAGTCACCGAGAAAAAGAAGAATGAAGAGGGATGAAATCGGTGTTAAAAGAGTGAAAAACAGTGAAGAAAGACGAGTAATTCACCTGTCCCGAGAATAGGATCCAAAAGTAGGACATGCCTCTCCGAGATATCGTTTGGCAATTTCTCGTAGATAAGCTGAGAATGAGAAAAACGGGAATGAGAACATCTAGGCATAGGCATATGGAAAGCACAAACCGAAAAATTGGACGGGCATCTTGCGTTATACCTGTTGACCGTTATCGCCTTCCCTATGAATTAGGATCTTCCCGATCTTGATGCCTTTGCAACACGCTCTCAGTGCATTCTCCATGCTCTCACCACTTAGCATTTATTTCATATTAGCCGTTGAGACAGTCGGGTTAATAATGAACCAAAAACAGGCGAAAGGGATTTCAGTAAGTACCTCCTAATCACAGAGACACCGCATAGCCTTTTACAGAAATCCACACCAGAATATACAGATCCTGGTTTCACAAAACAGAAACAGGTAGGTGACCCAGTTCTTGATCAATTATGGAGCAAGACCAGAGTTTTACAACGGGCACTACTGGTGAATTCAATAAACGGACCGCAGAAAAATATTGTCAAACGAGCTTACCGGTAGGAGTAATCACCTGCTTTTCGGTAAACGGTAGATGCCCGAGCCCATGCTCTACAACCTGCCAAATGTACATAACTATGATTGAGACTTGAGAGCATAAGAAATGCAAAAAAGGAAAATTCCGCATAGTAATCTTGAGAAATTAACCCTACCAGCCGGATCAATCTATCAGAATAAAATATGAAATCGTGTTTTGTTGTTTGAGAATCTCGTATAAGGGTGTGCATACCTCGTATCTGAAAAAAAAACATGAGCACAACACAATATCCAGTTAAAAATATAAGCTCTCACTTGTCTGATAGTTAAGGATGGAAAAGGAGATGTGAATGTTGTAGGTATATAAGAAATGGCGATTATTAGATGTTAAATCAGCATAGGTACAATACCTGAAATGTTGATTGAATAACATATAGATTAGGATATATTTTACAGAGATCATGCTGACCGAGCTTGGTGCGAATATGTTGCACAATTAAGTCGATTGCTACATGATTATCCCCACCACGAGGAATTATGATATCTGCATATTTCTTCGTAGGAAGAATGAAGTCATCAAAAGCAGGCTTCACAAACTTTGAGTACTGCACCAGATATCGAGATTGGAAGAACATACATTAGAGAATACACGGGTAAAAGTTGAAATTAACATTGCATTCAAAGCAAGAAAAGTATAAAGAACTAATTGCTAATCCCGAAGACGATAGTGGTGGCAAATCAAAATTACGGAGAAATAACGCGGGCTAACCTGATCAAGTACCACACCAATATCTCTACCCTTCTCAGCGGTATCACGTTTGATCCTTCTAGCCAAACGGACATCAGCGTCTGCATTGAAAAAATTCCAATGTGAAGTAGCTGCCCTGCTTATTTCAAGAGTTTGGTACGTTCCTCAAGATATAGTAGTTGTTCCTTCACTTGGAATCTCAAGAGCAACAACAGGCATGTACCATAAAAACAGAGAAGGAATATAGTAAAGCAAGAGAGTTGCAGCATACAATCCATGAGGAAGGAGAACGGAGAAAAATTACCCGTGTCAACAAAAATCTTCATGTTCATCAACTCTCTGACACGAGTATCATGGAATAATAGTATTCCTTCGAGTATGATAACATCTGAAGGGTTTACCTGCAAAACAATTTTTCAAATGAATGTATCATTTTCCAACGAGTCTGGGATCATAACAACATATTTCTGGTCAGACCCTCAACAAGATAGAAGCATAGTGATAATCATCCCAAATTGCATTGATGAGAAAGATGTATACCCTTCTGGAAACGTTGCTCTTGTAAGTTTTGAAGTCGTATTTTGGAATATCCACTGCTTGTCGTCGCCTCAATTTCTCCATACAGCATAATAAGTGCTCAGTGTCAAATGCATCTACAAATAAGACAATGACCACAAGACTTCATAACCAACAAAGATTTATGGATGAGGCGGCAAAGTATGTAACATGAGATTTTTTTTGCATTGTACTCCCAGAAAGTAATAAGGTGCCATCACAAATGAATTGCAAAAAATGTTAAAGAGAGATAGATATTGACTCCAATAGATCATTGAAATCAGCCACATTCCAAAGATATTCTCACCCGGGTGATCAAAGTTGTATTCATGAACTCTAGCAAGTTCTTCTTCAGTCAAATTATGGTAGAACGAATCCTGCCACATCATTCATCTTCGATCTTTAGTTTTGCTGTTTCTGGACTATCATAATGACCAGATAATCATCAACAAGATTCATACACTGATTCATGATATCTGAAGAAGGGCGAAGAGGTAATCTAAAAAGAATGCATGGAAACAATCCAATTACCTGATTAACAAGTACAACACGCTGATCATGCAGTTGTTGAATTATCATATCACAAACAGCAGTCTTTCCTGAAGCCGCGCCTCCAGCGACACCTAGTCACCAAGACACAAACCGCCTAATCTTAAAATCAAGAATTTCCATGGAGCTTGTCTTAATTGAAAACTATTCGGACAAACTATTACCTAACCATACCTATCACAAAAGGCTGTCTGTGCATATCGTCTGATTCCGAAGTGATTTCCTGCACTGTTCTTGTCGCCAGCCCATTCATGTGGAAACCAGAAAAATGGACCCCTGAAGAGGCTTCTATCATGTCCACGACAGATTCGGAATCCATCCTGTGTAACCTACAGAGGAAATCAATCTCAAGACAATCATTCCATGTAAGACCACAAAAAAACAAAATCTTAATTTCTCTTCCATCTCCAATAATGTATAAACAAGAAAAGAGGGAACTGTACTGTGCATTGCTTCCAAACGAAAGGACCAAAAGACACCAAGAATCATGAACAACTCACTCAATGAATAAACACCTAAAGTTCAAACTTTGGTCCAAGCCAATAGATCCCAGAAAACAAATTTGCAATTCACCTTAAACAATCCTTACCCACTGTTCTTATTGCAATGTGAAACCCATTTTCTCAAGCAACCCGAAATTGGGTACAGTGGAATTTTCCCGGCAACCGAAGTTGATAGAATCTCGATTAGCATCAGTTTCACCCACAGATCAGCCCAATGCAAAACTACCCAGATACCCAGAATCTCTCAAGTGATACAATTTAATCACACAAAACAGTCAGCAAGCTTTGCCTCGGCGGCGGTACAATCATCGTTCTCAGATCGAACGTCTGAGGATGAAATCCAGTTAATCAAGACAGAATCTCATTCATAACAACAGAGAAACGGACGAAAACGAACTAAGGAAATGCATATATAACTGAAATAGAAAACGCACTTAGATTCGTGTCGGAGATTCAGGAATTACCAGATTTAGCTCCGGCTGAAGAACCCTCCCACCTGGAGACGTCAAAAAGGAAGATACTTTCTCTGAAGGAAAATCAGTAAAATATCCGACGAGAAAGGGGTAGATTGATTGATTTTGGTAAATTAACGAATTTTGTTTCGGCTAATTAATGGGGAGAAAGCTGGATTCAGACATTGATTCGGAGGAGAGTATTTAATAGCGGAGCGTGTGGTGAGTCTGGTGACGAAGGCGACGTTGCATCTGAAGTTTACTTTATTTACGAAAAGAGTCCTATGCTTTCTAAAGGTTCAGAATTAACCCCCTAGTAGTTGTTGGATCTAATTTGGTGGAATTTGTCGATCAATGATGTGCCCTTTTCTGAAATTCACAACCTTTTTTCTTCTCTTTTTCGTTTGAATGAACAATAAAGGTTTCTACCAGGGGACTGATAATGGGTCCGCACAAAAGAACGTCACTTTCTTTTCATCCGATGAAAAAAACCATGGTTTCGCCGGCGCTGAAACCGCCGGAATTTATCTCCTTTCGCCGCACTGTCATCCGCTTTCCAAAAGATACCGATCGGAATTTCTTCGCCGGTATCGGCTTCATCGTCGCTGTCGAGCTCTGTGGAACTCCAACCGATCGAGGACCTTCCTCCGAAGCTCCGAGAGATCGTCAAGCTGTTCCAACCGGTGCAACAAGGAACTTCCGTTCAATGGTAAGAATCTGAAACCGCTCGATGCGCAGTTTAAAACGAGAGAGAGCAACGTACAAGGATGCGTTGTTCAGGTATGGGTTAGGGCTTTTCTAGACGAAGAACACAATGCTGTGATCGAAGCAGATTCCGATTCGGTTCTGGCAAAAAGGGCTAGCAGCTATTCTAGTTCAGGGATTATCTGGAAGACCCCTGCCGGAGATTTTGAGGGTCACGACGGATTTCGTGGTTCTTCTCGGGTTGAAGCAGAGTCTGACTCCTTCAAGGAATAATGGGTTCCTTAATTAATATGCTGAAGCTTAGATCCGGAGATGGCTCAGAGTGCAGCATCAGGTCAACTCGTGAAGCGAGTAAAGGTAAAACAAGTGTTCTTGATACGGATTCAGGGTCTAAACAGGTGGAAGTGAGGAATTGGGAAGTGATAAGATCCAAAATCCGATAAAATAGACCGAATTCTGGTGATTTGGGGAGTAGAGGTGTGAGGATAAGAGAGAAATTGGAGAGGGAGCTGAATCCTGCTGAGTTAGAAGTTCAAGATGTATCATATCAGCAGGTCGGACATGCTGCTGTTCGAGGTAGTGGTGATGAGGAAACACATTTCAACATGAGGATCATTTCGGATGCTTTCCAAGGGAAAATAGCTTGGTCAAGAGGCAGAGGTTGATATATGACATGTTGCAGAGTGGATTACATGCTTTATTTATGGCGGCAAAGACACTGGCTGAAGTTTGAAGCGGCTCAAAGGAAGAGAAACAGGTCAAATTCTTTGCCTCTTAGTTCATTAGCTTTGGATTTGTTCTGAGTCTTTAACAAGTTTACTACTTTAGTCATATGCGCCGCTCAGTATCGTGTTATTAGCTTCCTAAGGATGAGATCTAGACGTATGAGCGATGAAAGGTTGCATGCGTTTGGATATCTTTAACGATTTTGCTACATGGTCCTCATTTATTAGTATCTGGAATACAGCTTGTACGAGTTCCAGTTTGTCCATCTTCCCTGCCATATATAGCATATACATATACATAATAAGAACTTGTCACTCGAGAAGGCAAGAAACCAAGTTTACTGATGATTCATGCTGTTGTCGATTTGATAGTTTCAATTGAGAAGGCAAGAGAACTCTTTAGCTGTGAGTCGGGTTCGGGTTAAAAATGTGAACTTGTTTCAGTTGATCCCTGTCTTGTTGTAGGCTACCCATTAGACATTTGATGTTTCTTAAAGCCTCAATCAGGTCTTTTTCTTTCTCTTTTGTCGTAGATTGACCCGAAACTTGATTTTTTATTTGCAGTCGACTTTAAAAGCTTGCATTGCCGAAACCAGCTCTTGCTGTAGCCAATCACATTTCTTGAACTTGCTTTGTAGTCTGTTGTATCTAGACACTGAAATATGAAGTTTCCTAGGAAAGTATTGGTCAAGTTGAGACTGAAAATTTAAAAAATCCCATGTTGGCCTGTGTTGGGAGATGCGTATGCTTCCTTTTTCTTCATTTCTTTTGATTTCTCAACCCTAAAAAGGAACCAACATAGGAACCTAACTGTCGGAAAACCTCTGTTGTTCTTGAACTAGTCTTTTTTCTGGTGTTTTTCAGGTGAGTGCAGCCGTACAATACTTGTCCTCAAATTTTGTCTTATGGATCAAGATTGGTGAAGGATAACAAGAATATGAATCAGGAATCAGAATCTCTCAGCATAGAAGAAAATTCTGTTTCGGTTTCTTGATTCCCAAACATACCAGATCATTCTTTACAACCCATCTCTGTTCCTGCATTGAGTTTACTAGACTTTTCTTCCATTTTTTTTTACATTTTTTTAGAGGGAAGAAACAGAGATCTCTGCTTGAACATGACAAAGATAGGAACTTGAAGCAGCCCAAGAAAGGGTTATGGCCTATTCTCTTCATTTCTTAGTGCTGCAATTCCGAGAAACCAAGACCCCAGTTGGTGGACCAGTCATTTGAACCTGGCACCTCCCATGAAGCCAATAAGAGTAATGAATCATTCCCAGATCTGCTCTCACTTTAAAGGTACCTCTTATTTCGTAGTTTATCTTGTTGTTCTGGACCTGTCTTTTAAGCTCCACCGCATGGTTTGCAGGTAAATAGACCAAGCTCGATATCAGGTGAACAGCTTCTAACCTCGTCTCCCCTCTTCTCTGCGAAAATGGCTGAACCCCTTGTGTTGCAATCAATCTGTTGTAGAAGAAGAGCTCTATATCGAGATACTCGAACCTCACGTCGATTTTCTTGTTCGGGTTTGTGAAATTCGCCAGCAAGGACAAGTCACCGTTGAAAAACACGGGCGAGTCGAAGTAGATGGTGTTGAGATTGGCGTTGGGGATGTCGAAAACAGGGGTTCTTGGTCTGATGGCAAGAAAGACAATCAGAGTGGCGATCCCGAAAAAGATGAGGACGAGGCTGAAGACAAGACACAGACCGGCTCCACACCATATCCATGGGTTTGTCCTCCTTGGCTGTCGGAGAATCACAGTTTCCTTTCTAACCTCCACACCACCACCACCATCAATCCCTTTGAATTTCGGTATCACCGGACTCCTCGGAGCCACCGATACAACGACTTGGGTCTGCGTCTGCGTCGGCGTTTGGTGGTTGCTCCGTGGCGTTCTCCACGGCGTGCTTCTTGGAGTAAACCATTTGGAAGAGGGCGTTTCCCATGGCGGCGTTTCCGGCGGCTGTTGATGATGCGGCGGCGGAGGCAGAGGAAGCAAATTCGACATGGATTTACTATGGTGAATGCTCTTGAGAAGCAAAGTTCTATGCTTTTTCTTTTCTTTTCTTTTTTTGCTATATGTACAAACAATGGAAGGAAATTCTGGGATTGTGTAATGGAATTGGTTTAAATAGAGGGAAAACTTTAAAAAAAAAAACTAAAGGGAAAGTGAGTTTGGGAAAAAAAAAGCAGGAAGCTTTTGCCTAATGGGGTTTAGGGAGAGTGGGACCTGCGTGCTGTTTTCATGATTTAGAAAAGCAAATCTTGGTGGCTTTAAAGTTTGAAAACGACAGGCGTTTTAGGTCTGTATCTTAAGGGAGGGGGTGGCTATTCTATTATTTGAGAATACAGGGGGAGGAAATGAAATGTGATTTGATAATGGTTATGTAGAGTGGAATAATTGTACGGACTGAAACCGGAACAAGAGGATATAGGGTTTAGGTCACGTTAGAGAATAGAGAATCTTGGGTTTTTATATTCTAGAATTTCGGATATCTTGGTAACAAATGATTAAATAGAGATATAATATATAATTTACACCCAATCGAAATAGATCAAAGTCATTTTGTCATTTTTTTTATAACGGAGTATCTCTAATTACTGTTTTTTAGACGCACTGACTAGATAAACCTCCGACTCATGATCAACCTTTGTATATGGACATTAATTAACCCAAAAATTATATCTCTCTCCACCAAGAGAAATCGAATAACCAGTCTTTAAATGTTTTGAACTATCGAGTCGATTACCCTTGTTGGGTGACCGAACGGTATAGTTAATAACTTAGTTGAGAAAAGATTATTAGTCTATTTATTTAAAATTTCATTTTCAAGTGAAAGTTGGAGAAAATGATGAATTTTAATGGTAGCAATGATAGATATAACTGGACCAATTTAAATAAAAAATGTAATTTACATAATTAAGTAGTAATCAAAGTCTAATTTAGATTTTTGTGTTGCCTCTTTTTTTTAAAAAAATCTTTTTAAGTTTGGTCTAAGGGTTTGAATGGAGATTTCGGCTTTTTGTTTGGTCTGTCCGGAATATGTGTTTGTTGCTTGTGAACTTGTGCTGCTCTTTTGTTTTGGTGGACTCTAAAAACACTTCAGTGTTAAGGAAAGGGTTTTGTAATTCCATTTTTGTCCTTTTATGTCTCCCTTTCTCTCTCTCTAACTTCAATTTACCTTTAAAGAAAAAAAAACAAAGATCCCATTCAATCATTTAAGGTACAAAAAAACTTAGCAATGCTAACAAACAAAGGCGGGACCCGGTCTAGGGATGGAAAACCCGGTTATTTGAAGATCATTGGTTATTGAAGATTTGGTTACAAAAACCGGTTAATCAATAAAATTTATGTTTTCTTATCAACGAATCATTAATGCCTTGAACCTAATACGTGGAACGAGGTTATTGCTTCTTTAATTAGTGACTGAGTCGTTTGAATGTTGGTGTTGAGAAGGGTGCCTGAATTAATTGTATGTATTATTGAACGTCCTTTAAAGTACATAAACAACCGATTTCTAAAACCCCAAATTAAAGACATGAACCGATCATTTAAGGAACGTCTTTGACCAATTTGTGTTCATGCATACGTATATGTACGTGCATGCATGTGCATATATATAATGTGATGGAGAGTTACAGCAAAGCATGCAGGTGAGAGAGAGGGTTCGGGGAGATGGGGGGAGGGGCCAAACGGGTAAAAAGCTACAGCAGCGATCACCAAATTCTGCTCGTTGGAGAAGGAGACTTGTCTTTCTCTCTTTCTTTGGCCAAAGCCTTTGGCTCTGCCTCTAATATCACTGCTACATCCCTTGATACACTCGGTTCGTAAATTTCATCGTATAGGGTTGTATCTTATAAACACGTTCCATTGGACTGTTTATGAATTCGTCTCTCTCCGATGCATTTGTAGAGGAGCTGGAGAGCAACTACAGAGATGGAAAAAGCAACGTACAAGAGCTGAAGGATCTCGGTGGCACGGTCATTCATGGAGTGAACGTTCATACGATGACCCAAAACTGTATTATACGATCAAAACGCTACGACATGATCGTCTTTAACTTCCCTCATGCAGGGTTCACTCCTGGTCTCTCTGAGCGTAATCCCTTAGCCATCTCGTGAGGAAACCATGCATATGTATATATATATTATATATTCGGTTCTTTTGTGTGTGCTTATTTTTGGTTTCGGGATGTTCGTTTTAAAGGCGTCATCAGGAGGTGGTGAGAGGAAGCGCCAAGAATGTGGTGAAGCGTTTTGATGGAGAGATTCACGTCACACACAAGGCCGCATATCCTTTCAGCGAGTGGAACATAGAGACTCTGGGTGAGAAGGAAGGTCTCACACTGTTGGGGAGTTCTGCGTTTAACATGCGGGATTATCCTGGTTACAGCAACAAAAGAGGAAGCGGCTTTTACTGTGACTCTGCCTTTCCTGTCGGACAATCTGTTACTTTCAGATTCTCATTCCATTAGTACTAATTAATGTTTTAAGATACTGTTCAGTTTAAGTTGATTGATGTTCAGTATAATTTCTGTATTCAAAAATGTTTTATATATATATATAGAGATATATAATCATGCACACTTCTCTTATTAAGTACCGAAATCATGAAACAGCAACTCAAAAGCACACTGCATATATGTAATAAAAAGACAACACTGAAACACAATTCTTGACTTGCACACTTGGAAACAACGAGTAGTTATGTATGGGTATGTGTATTAATGAGGTATACAGTGCTTAGACGTATATATATATGTATATTCCAAGTTTGTTTATTAGAATTGTCCTTCAACCGGCCCCAACCCCTCAATCATGTTGTTCTTGCCACGGTTGTTCATCATAGCATGAATCTTGGAACAGTTACAGGGCATGAGCATGCACCTTCCAGCTCCTTGATCCATCTGGTAAGAAGCGTTAGAACCTGAACCGAGCTTGCGCGCTATCACAACCGAGTTGATCACTTCGTCGGTCGGGTGGTAAATCGTCAAAACCTCGAAACCCTTCAAGTCACTTGGGTCGATGATCGGATAGAGAAAAGCTCTCGGGCCATTCGCGCTCCTCAGCATGAGTACGGCCCCTGGATTCATGTGTTTCTCCAGATGCTCAATGACTTTGACCTTATCTTCTTTGTCCATGCCAACGAGAGCCGCCAAGTATACGACGTCATAGTCTTTTAGGCCATCCGTCACGTCCATCACATCGGTCGTGTGGAAGAGCATGCGCTGAGAGAGGTCGGGATCGGACGAGACAAGGCCCGAGGCCAGGGAGTTGGCTGAAGGGTCGATGTCATAGTTGTGGAAGACGGTGGTTCGGAGGTGGAAAGTGGCCAAGACGATGGACGTGAGAGGGAGAGGACCCGACCCGAGAAAGGCGATTCTCTTCGGGACATGGTTCAAGTGCTGTCCGAGAAGATCGAACTCGAGTTTGCTGAGTTTGAGATAGTTGTTGTAATAAGGAAAGATGTCCAAGTGGCGAAGTGGGTTGTCTCGAAAAGAGACCAGGATCGAAGAGAAATGTTTCTCCAAGTGACCCTCGGCTTCGCCACAGAGCTTTATAAGGTGAGATCTGATTTCTTGGACTTTCTCGCACATGGTGGTGACATCGACGGTTGGATTCGGTGGCATGCACGTGGAAACAAGTTGTCCGAACAACATGTCGACATTCTTGGAAGGTTTTAGGGTTTCGAGCTTCGAGATTTGGTCGTACAACTCGCAGATTTTGTTCACCAAGAGATCGTTCTGGGAAGACATGTCGACACTATGAGGTTATTCTCTCGGGGGGTGTTTGAGTAATTTTGATCTTTTTAGGCTTTGAATTCGGCCCTCGCAAGGCGTCGTTATTTATGGACGCTTGTGGAGTTCACATTGTTTGTGAAATACTTTTTTTTAGAATATTTATATTTTATTTTTGTAGAGACGATATAATTTTAAAATAATAATTATAATATTCTATCGTCTGATCTTATATTAAATCCACGTCGTATGAAACGGATAAAAATAAAATAAAATGAAGACATACGGTAGTATCAACTCTACAAATAAAAATATATATTCTAAAATTTACCAATGCATGAAATAAATAAACGGAAAATATAAACTCTACAAATAAAAATATATATTCTAAAATTGACTGTGGCTGTAATTAATCGGGACCTCATCATAATATCATTCTCTAATACGTACGGAAGCATAATATATATATATACATACACTAGATACATGAAAGGTTGACAAAGTGAATTGGTCAAGTTTTAAAATGCCAAAAATTATACACCATGTATATATATGTTTATTAATTTCATGTGTTGGTATACTTATTATATATATATATATTTCAGTGTATGAATGGTATCGAATGGTCGTCACAAAGGTCGTTACGTAATCGAACAATGTTTTCTAAATAATCTATAATATGAAAGGGGCAATGTGGCAGAATCGGCAATTCAGGCATGGGTCTTGAAGATTATTGACACGTCATCATGAAAATCTATAAGGTTTTAAATAAATTATATATCGATTGTCGGATTTTTATTTATATGTGGTGTTATCCTATATATATGACGTCATTTTAAACGGGAAACTGTTAGATTCCTTTGAGCCCTATGCTTTCACACTTGTTTCCTAATTTTGTATTAATATATTTAACTTAAATTTTCAAACTTATGTTTTCATCTCTATAAATATTATAATGGGTCCTAAAGAAAATTATTTTAGTAGTAAATCATATATAGTGTGTATCGGAACTTGTAATTAGGCCCAAAGCTCTATCATAATTGATTATGAATAATTTTTTAAATCTGTAATCATATATTCGATATATATAGATATATATATGCTTTTATTTTTATATTTAAATTTGAATTTCAATTATCATAAACATTTTGTTCAATATATATATATATATATGATATTCATTATGATGTACGTATACCGTGCAAAGGTATGGTTTGGCTGATATTGTTATGAGTTGGTGTCTCTTGAATAAACTGTATAGCCAATTTTCAAAATGCCACTCAACGTTGACATGTGTTGATGAAAGCTATTGATGATGAGTTAAATCGATTTTTTTTTTTTACTTGTAAATGCACAACATGTTTGCACATGTACGTATATGTGTATATATGACATAAAAATATCACCCATACAAAAAAAAAAAAACAGAAACAAATCCTCATAATAAATATATTCGTTGTTACAACATATGTAGAGGTTTATGCAGTGAACCTCACAACATTCAATTCGAATTACCCAAATTTGGGTGGTGTAGTGATAACATTATTTTATTATGAGTTCAAATTTAAAATGGGTTGGTATTCACTCATATTTTATGAGAGATATAATTGGACAAAAAAATTGGTGAACTTTCGGATTATAAAAAAAACATTGAATTTGAATTGATTATAATGTAATTTCAAGATTTTAATATATATATATATAGTGTGACACAAGGAAGGTGGAATTATAAAATGATAGATTCCCTTTTTGAATTGGACGGTGAGAAGAGGAGATGCTTGTTTGGATTCGACGTGGTACACAAAACATAACCTTACATTTACCATCGAACCACTTTAACAAGGAAGATGCATGTTCATGAACCTCGTTGCGCCATACCAAATCCTACACCATTATTATAATAGTTTAATTATATATATGAGCACATCGATTGCAATCAAACACATATTGTATGGTTTTATATTATTTGATAGATTGATGGTTTGATTTAAAAAAATCGTGAGATTATGAATACCCAAAAGAAGATAGATTTTGTGGGAACATTCTGGTTTGATTTTAGAAAGAGTTACAGATAACAAAACCAAACTAAACATAACTGAATTTGGTTTGTTTCTAATCATATCCAATCAAACATAAATAAATAAAAAATACAATATATATAATTCCGTAGTTATATAAATCTATATTGTTAACCAAATCTATTCCAATATCGAATTTAGTTCCATACTATAAGGTTGAAGTCACATTATACAAGTATTTAGGAATAAAAATGGTAATACGACACATTTTCATGTTTTTGGATAATTGTTGGCTTTTTTTTTTTATAATAAAGAAAGCAGCTTTTCTGTCGGTAATCATTATTCAATCAAATCCAAAACCATCGACGATAAGTTGCATTCTTGCAGGCGGTTGGGTATGAATTCATTGGCTATCATCCGTACTGTCTGTTCGTTCACGCATCATTCCACAATATCCTGGAATTTTCGAAATTTCATATGCATTTCCGATTCCAAATCGACGGGTTTCTCTCTAGAAAACAAGACAAATTCTCAACAATCAAGGAATATACCAGAGACGAAATCCCAATTTCGACGGAATCGAAGAGACGAGACACCAAACCCTAGAAACGGGATCGAGATCGGCGAAGGCTAGAAGGGAGAACCGGGCGGAGGCGGAGCTCTGACGCCGGAGAATCGTCTTCTTCCGCATGCATCACCGGCGGAGGGATCGCAGGCGTGGAAGATGTCCTTGATCTTGTGGAAACCGTCCTTGAAGACGCCGAAGCCGAAGAGGAGACCGATGAGGATGACGACCAGGATCAAGCACGTGCAGAGCATGCACGTCCTGCCTCCGCAACACATCGTCGTGGTTCGTGTTCGTGTTCCTGTCCTCCGTCTCTGATGCCGGAGCTCTGGAGATTCGAAGTTTTCCGGCGAGAGAGATTTCGGAGGGTGGTATTTCTAAACAATGCCAGAGAGTGAGGGAGAGAGAGAGAGAGAGATAGATATTCTCAGATTCTTCCTTAGCGGAATTCAGGTATTAATTCTCTCATCGCTTTGGACTCGGATAATTATTCTCCCACTAAGTAACCGTTTTCCCCTCTTAATTGTTATATTTAATTAATATTAGAAATTTTGTACAGTAACATTTATTTCCTTTCTAAATTAAATATATTTTCAAGTTGACATATGTAAGATGTAGAATTCAAATGAGAAGAGAACAAAATTTAGATAAATATTCCACAAATTCTTTATATTTAAAGGTCAGAATTTTCAAGACATTCCTGTATACATTTTAACATTTTTGTTACGATCAGAATGTTCTCAGTTGGTAAAATATGGGGTCGTTTGCGAATAATTTAGGAACTAAGGGGCAAAATTAAAATAATTTGGGTTCAGTCGAAACTGAGGTTGAGAAAGTGAAACATACAAGGACTCACATGCAATTTTGTTTAAAATTTTAATCGTCCAATATTTACAATGGCCCAACCCAAATCTATAAAAATCCAATATTTTAATGGATTGGGTTTAAACAAAACCATTGTAAGTTGGGCTCTACAAAGAATGTGTGGGTTGAACAATCATCTGCTGTTTTTAGCTCGTTGAATCCAACTGCATGCTGTTTGTAGATTCTGATATCACACATCCTGTCGTTTTTGATGACAGGTTTCGGAAAATAGTGGTCTGGAGCGAATCCACGCGACGGAACCAGAATTATGAAACGGGTCCGGGTCGGGTAGGGTCTTGGAATCGCAGAAGATCGTCGTCTTTGTTTCTTCTCTGCGTTAAACCTCGCTTAAACCTAGAGAGTTGCAGAAAGATGTTTCGAGTGGTGGGATCGGCTCTGAAGAGGAACAAGGACGCCGTTAATGGAGCTCTGCGGAATCTCCGAGGAACGACATCGTCCCATCGGGTTTTCACCTCTAAAACTGCAGCAGCTGCTGCTGCTACTTCTTCTTCTCTAGCTCGAAGCTCCCTCCATGGCTTCCGATCTCTTCTCAAGGTCATTACTTTCTCCCATCTCTTCATTTTCCGATGTAGGTAGCGAATTTGATGATTTGATCTCGATTTCGTGGATCATAAATGTTTACTCTAATGGGCTCGGATTAGAAATTTTTCAGGGTTTAGGTGCCGTTTTCTTTGCCTTTAGACTTGAATAGTTGCTTCCACGTAATCGTACACTGTGTTGAGTTTAGCCGCATATGTATATCTTCACATTTCTATGAGAAGGTCTCTTGATGTGTATTGATTCTGGTTTGATGAAGATCTTGTTTTGTGTAGGGCCAAAACGGATCGTGCTTGAGAAATATGTCGACTGCAGCTGCGGTTGGGAGGGAAAGCAAGGAGGGTCTGAAGCTGCTGGTCTCTGGAGGAACCCAAGGGCAGAAATGGGTTGGCATTTGGCTTTTCGGTTCTGCGGCATGGGTTTTCAGCATGGTGGTGCTCGGTGGAGTCACCCGATTAACTCGATCTGGCTTGTCAATGACTGACTGGAAATTCACCGGTCAACTGCCTCCACTTTCGGACAAAGAGTGGGTCAAGGAGTTTGAAAAATATCAGCAGTCACCTGAGTACAAGCGGTGAGCGATCAAATCACCTGACCGTGTAAACAGGCCGTTGTTGCAAGCATTTTTTCTCTTTGAATGGGCTCTGAATCTTGTGGATGCTGTCATGTTTTTGGATTTACACTTGCAGTGTGAACAAAGGGATGAGTCTTGAAGATTTTAAGTTCATATATTGGATGGAATATGCTCACCGGATGTGGGGAAGAGGATTGGGAATCATGTTTGCATTGCCATTTTCTTACTTTCTCCGTAAAGGGTATATTACTCTACGCCTTGGACTTAGGCTCTCTGGTCTATTTGCGCTTGGTGCTGGACAGGGTTTCATTGGTTGGTGGATGGTGAAAAGTGGTCTGGAGGTAAGCATTAGGAACTTGTGTGCATAAACCCTCATATGTATATGTTTTTGTCGGGATTGAGTTGAGATGTTGTGTTTTTGAATGTTCATGATGCAACCTTTAACAAGTTCATGCTCACAGGAGCCAGCGTCTGAATACGCTCAACCAAGGGTCAGCCCATATCGTCTGGCAGCTCACCTGACCTCTGCATTTGCCATCTACTGCGGACTGTTCTGGACAGCTCTTTCCGTTGTTATGCCAGAACCTCCAGCTGAATCAGTGGCTTGGGTTCGTGGGGCGGCAAAAGTAAAGAGACTCACCCTACCAGTGAGCTTCATTGTCGGAATCACCGCCATCTCAGGGGCCTTTGTCGCTGGAAATGATGCTGTAAGCAAATAATCTCTCTCTTATCAAACTTGCCCTGAAACGATATTGATTCCCTTAGTTACAGAGTATTTACTTATGTGAAAGTGAAATCCAGGGTCGTGCATTCAATACATTCCCGAAGATGGGTGATGCATGGATTCCAGATGATATATTTGAGATGAAACCACTTATTAGAAACTTCTTCGAGAACACATCAACTGTTCAGGTACTGCAAAATGCACTTTACTGTCACAATGATACAAAAGAAACGAATATATCACAAGTTTATACATGCTAACAAAAAACTAAGACCCGGGTTTTTTTTCCTTGACTCGGTTTCAGCTCGATCATCGTATCCTAGCAACGACGACATTAATAGCAATCGGAAGCTTGTGGTGGTTCACTAGAAAGTTGGACGTACACCCAGCCATTAGAACATTGATAGGAAGCACTGTGGGAATGGCAACTGTTCAGGTTCATTTCTTTTTTTTTTGCCAACACACTTCGTTCTTGTTCGCCCTCTTTATTGATTTCTTGAACAGATTTCCAGATAAACATGGTTGATGGATTTTTGCAGGTGACATTGGGTGTATCAACTCTGCTCAGTTATGTTCCGGTTTCGCTTGGAAGTGCACACCAAGCAGGGGCTTTGACTCTTCTCACCCTCATGCTTCTCCTCAATCACACTGTCCGGAAACCTTCTCCGTCTCTTTTCAAGTCCCTTCCTCAAGTTGCCAAACCACATTTCAGCTAAGCTCAACCTTCTTTTCATCTACTGAAACAATTCTTTTTCTTCTGTTGTTAGTTCATTAGAGTACCCATTTCATGAATTGGGAACCAACCGTACGTATATTCTGTTTCACCTGATATATATATGTAGTCTGTCATTATCAATAAAGATTCATTATGGCAAGGAAGAGGCCATTGCCAGAATTCTTTACGTTTTTGTAAGAAATCGAGGTTTTGTTTGTGTTCTGTGACACGTGCTTCTAGTTTGGTCCTAAACCTGACGTTGATAAGCTTCGTAGTCTCTGGAAAGATATGGATAACGTTGAAGGAGCAGACTTGGTTTACACGTGTCACGTCAGCGATGCTTTCGAGAAGCCACGTGTCCATCACCCCACAGTATCTCTCCTATATATGCAACGCCAACTAAATTCTCTGACTCTAATGGAAGACACTCAGGGCAGAGAGATAGCCATCTCCGGCAACGGCGGCCACCGAGAAATCACCACTGCTACGGCAGTGGGGGCCACAGCAGCAGCCCTAGCCGTTGGTGGCCCGCTCCTGGCTCTGATGAGCTTGAGCTTCTTGGCCACGGCCACTCTGTTTCTGATAGCTGCGCCGGTGCTACTGATATTCAGTCCGGTGCTGTTGGGAGCGCGGCCCGGGCTGGGTTCGGGGCGGCTGGAGCCATGTGGGTGGTGGGGTTAGGGGCGTTGGTGTGGGTGGGGAGGCAGGTGGGTGTGGGTGGCGGAGTCGTGGAGAGGATGGTTGAGTCGGCGGTCGGTGTGAGGGTTAAGGAGATGGGGAATGACCCGAGAGGTTACTTGCGGTACAAGTCAGATGTTGATAATTTTTCTCAGGCTGACTCTTCTTAAAATAAGTTTCCTTCTTTGAATCTTTTCTGTACCTTGTCGTCGTCTTTTTTTTTTCTTCCTGTTAATGACTTTGAATGAAATCAAATGAGTGTTTCTATCAACTTATATGGTCTGATTTATAGGATAATCTTAGATCTTTGACAGTTTCATGATCATGAAAAGTTGAAACGTAAAATAAATCCGAAAATAAAAATAAATAATTTCATTGGGCCAAAGATCAATTTAAAGGCTCAATAGAGGCCCAAATGTTGGCCCATAAAGGAAGTGGAGAAATGTAGCCGTTACCGTCAATGGTGGTACGGTATTTTTTTTATTGTTATGACCGTAACAAGCGAAACGTCGTGGGAAAATCCGACCGTTGTAAATATAACCGTTGGCAAGGGAACACCAATTTAAATACCTGAAAACTCTGCTCTCGTTCTTCACTGATCGAGCAAAACCTGGTTATATAGCAAACTCATTGTTCTTCGAATCTCTCTCTCTCTCATAGCTGATTTCCCCGTCTGTTCTTCCGTTTTCGATCTCTCTTTGTTTTTTTGGGACAATGGGTGAAACCAGAGATGCATATGTGGTGGAAATTCCAGTAGACGAAGAGCATCAAGAGAAACGACAGATGGGTTCGAACAGGGGAATCCTCGAAATGATTCAGCAGCACCCATTGTCGGAAATATCTGAGAGTCCAGGTCACTTGTTGCTTCTGAAACTTTGCCTGCTGAAGGAATCGAGGATCGACTCTATTAAAAGAGAGATCTTTCAGCTCTGCTGCTTCTTCCTCGTCTTCCATGGCTTCTTCTTCACCATTCTCTATTCTTCTTCTGAGGGTGAAAATCATGGGAAAAACGATGAGATTTGCAGGAAATGGTGGATACCCTCTGCAGTTTCTCTGGCAAGTTCGCTGGTTATGGTCTTGCTGGTGCAGGCTAAGCTGTTCTTGTACTGGAAAGTGTGTCGTAGATTGGAGAGGGAGAGGAACGATAACAGGGCGCTTACACGGTGTGTTCAGGAGCTGAGGATGAAAGGGTCGAGCTTTGATTTGTCGAAGGAGCCGTTGAGCGGGAAGAGGATGAAGAGTTCGAGCGTGGAGATCAAGTGGAAACCCGTTACTTGGTTTTCTCAGTATCTGATCACCATTGTTCTTCTTTGCATTGCAGGGTTGTTCTTCCCGATCTCAAAGTTCATCCTCTGCGGATTTTGACAGATTGAATCGGTTTCCACCCTCTGAATCTTTCGACATTTAAGGTAAGGCAATCAGTTTCTTGTTTCTTCGTGGGATTCAACTAAGAAAACTGTCATTTTCCATCAGGATCCTGCAATGCAATCTATGCATCGGAATCTCGGGATGAAGCTGTTTGGTCCGATCTTAACAAAACTTGTTTCACCGTGTCAGCTCGGGAAATTCTCTGTCAAATGTCCGGGGATCCAAAGAACAACCTTAAAAGCAGTTGCAGAAACACCCTTTTCTGTCATCAACAACTGCAGAGTTCCTGAACCAACCGTCACGGTTTTCTGCAAGTGATGTATGTTAGGTCGGATCAGACCACACACAAAAACAAAGCACTCTTTTGATGTTTTTGATTCTTATTTTATTATGGAAAATAAAGAACACAGCTTGTGTAAGGTCAAAGTCATGTTTAATCAAAAAAATGCAGTATCTCAAAGTAGGGTAAATACAAAGCCTAAACCAACCAAGATCCTCTGAAAAAAGTTTCAATAGTATAGTTTCTCGCCAGCCATTGCTACAAAGGTTGATGAAATTCATCTGGAGGCCGTGGAGACGGTCCTGATGACTGCCATCGGTTGGATAAAAGGCCGGATATCGTAATTTGAAGGCTGAGAGATCAAGAATGCGTATCATGTTGTTCCTATGAGCTCTCAAAACCAAATATTCGGAAAACACCTGCAAGAGGATTGAAGAGCTTGTGATTGATGATGATATTCATGCTGTGGCAGAATTTGAGATTCTTGTCTGATTATTCACGGTGGCTAACAATGAAGGAAGTGATAGAAGTTATTACCTTCATCGGCATTATACTTGGGATTTTTGTCGTCACCTGCATATGCCAGTAAATTGTATTTAGGATTCCACTCAACGCTGTTCATGGCAGCCCGGCATGGAATCTGATGTACTGTACGCCCAGTTTGCACGTTAGACTGCATGTAAAGATAATTAGACAAAATTACTGGCAAACTGATGTAATAACCAGATGAACAAGTTCTGGAAAACGTACAATATCGATGAATAAATCCTCGCTGGCAGAAGCAACATAATCTCCTGTGTAGTTGAAGCTTATTGTTCTCACAGGCCACCTGTGGAATATCCATTGTAAACTCAGTTTCAAAGGTTTCTGATTATATCCACCCTAATTGCAGAAACTTTGAGATGGAACTCACTCGAGTTTGGTGAACGTTCTCAAACAAAGCATGTCCGATATATCCCAGAGGCTAACTAAAGAATCCGCACTCCCAACAGCAAAATACCTGTCAAGGTATTGAACAGAATTCGGAAGATTATTTTCCGGACATATTCTTCTCATATATATCCTTGCAAGATTTTTCTTTTGTTTTTTTTTATTTCGATAAAATGCACATACAGCACCTTCCTTTGGGATCAATTGCGATGCAATAACACCCAGCTGTATGGGCAGTGAGGGTATCACGACGATGGAGAGATGGATATGACAGAACCTCAACCGTACCTAAATAGAACATACAACAGAAACTCTGCAATAAGATCATTCTGTTGGAATCTTCAGAGCCACATAGAAATTTTGAGTCAGGAAAAGAGAACATAACTTAGATCCTCACCAAGTCCAGTAGTCAAGAAAAACAGGTCTCCCGAAATGTTCCAAGAAATCTCATTTACCTGTTCAAAGAGGATGAACATCAAGCATTTCCATAATCATTTCTATTATATTCTATTTCTTTGGGCATAGGGCATGCAGTTAACTATAGCAAGCGAGCCTCTTATATCACGAGGTAGAAAAATGAGCAAAAAATAAGCTGGATATATGATGGAAAAGAAACTCATGTGGGCATTTCCATAATTATTTCTATTTATTTGGGCATAGGGCATGCAGTTAACTATAGCGAGCAAGCCTCTCTATCACGAGGAAGAAAAATGTGTTAAAATAAGCTGGACTGACATATGATGGAAAAGAAACCCATTTGGAAAAAAACAGATGAAGCATCATCGAAACTGCTTAATGGGCATTACCTCATAATTGAACTTGCGCCTGTGTAGAGGCTTAAACTTACGAACATCCAGAATCGTTAGTTCGTCATCCTACATATACAGTTTTTAAGAATGAATGTTAAAAATCTGCAAATCAACGATGTATCAGAATATTAACCGATAACTGCACATGGTTGGATTAATTGAGACCATTCCAAATGCATAAACCAGTTCAGCGAAAAACAGTGGAAGTTCCAGGCCACGGGAGTAAAAGATATATACCCTATTACCAACAGCTATGTGTGTCCCGTCAGATTTGTATGTAATGTTGATATTCTCCCCACTAAGTTCTGCTTGTTGTGTGCATTTTCCACCTGTATATCCGGGAGAAGACATGCCTCATGATTTTTTTTAACCTTTTATAACAAAAACACACAAGAACATCTCTTATACACACACACAAAATGATAAGATTGATTGTCTATCACCTATTTGTTCATTTTCAGAAGTTCATAACTAATCATAACCCTAAAAAGTTAAGTAATCACCACAACATAATTCCTGAACATACCCACATAGATGGAGAGAATTTTCACCACAACATAATCATCACATAGATGAAGGGCCGACCTGGCTCAGCGGTAAAACCATTTACCGTGGGGTCTGAGGTCGCGAGTTCGAATCCACCTCTCTACATTAAAATGTAGGGGTAAGGTGGCCTAGTATATTCCCTTCTCTAGCACCCCACTAGATGGGGATACGAACTGGGTTGGTCCTTTTTTACAAATGATCGAAACGAAGTTGAGATAAAAGGGTAAGACCCATTAGAGAATGAATGAACTTACTACGAGCATCCCAGAGACGAACACTCTTATCCCCAGATGCGGTAGCAACAAGATCCGAGTGTTTGGGGTCCCAACATAACTGATCCACACTATCAGTATGGCCCTTCAGCTCCATGTCCTTAACCTTACTCTGTATCCATACAGAGACAACAAAATAAAATAAAAACATCATATTTCAATGACATCAAGAAAACCATATATAAATCATTTCTACTAAATATGGTATCCTCAATTTTGTAACCTTTTGGAAAATCGATTAGAAAAACCTGAGGCTCATTGCTCATTCCTAAACACCAATATAGAGCTCAATCTCAATCAAAATCTCGCATTCTGTCCTGCTTTTTTCAGTGAAACTCAACTCTAAAGTTCATATAGTCCACGCAAACTACAACTACACAAATAATAACTTTCCTCGGAGAAACTCCAATCTGAAGCCAAGTTCCAAAAACATCGGAACTTTCAATAATTTAGTCGAAATGTAACCCCAAAAACACAAAAAAGTTCCCCAAAACTGAAGGCGATTACATGACCGTGGGCCTCGATGTGCCAGATACGAGCTGTTTGATCAACGGAACCCGAAGCAAGCTTTGTCCCAGTACAATTCCAAGCCACCGAGTGCACCTTCAACCCAAAATTTCGCAAAATAAGCGATTCATCGGCAGATAGACAGCAGAAAAGCTAGGGCTTTTTCTTGTTAGATTCCAAAACTAAGATGAGGAAAATAGAGAAAAAAAAACCTTCTTCTTGTGACCTTGATATTCCCTGCTATGGAGGCTCTTGAACGGAATCATCTCCTCCATGTTTTCCCTTTCCTCTACCTCCGACTTCAGCTCTTGCTGCAGCTCAGAGACGAACCTTTTAGGCATCGTTTGCTCGACAGAAACGCAGCGTTTTGGAGATTCCGGTACAGATAATTCCGGTCCCGTTTTCGGTTTGATTGAGTAAACCAAACCTGAAAAATTAAATCCTTGGACTTTGTCAATTGTTTGGGCTCAGCCCAAGATTGTTTAACCTTCTGGAATAACGAGAGGCTTCGAAGTGAACAAGAGCGGTAAAACTGAGCACTCCGTAATATAAAAAAGGGTTAAAAGGAAGAGCTATAAATTGCTTGAAATCCACCGACGTGGAAGTTTACAGGGCAAAAGAAAAACCTTGTGTTGTTGTGTGATAGAGAGAGAGATTGAAGAAGAGCTAACTGTTCTTGGAACTGCTCCGCCGCCTCATCGTTCGATCTCCGGCGGATTTGGTCTGGGTTCCGATCATCTGGTGCGGTGGTTGGTTTGGTTGTTTCGACGGAAGGTGGGGATTCGTTTGGTGAAGTTGTCGGGGAGCTAGAAGCCATTGAGATGATGATGATGACGTCACTCGGAGGGGGAGGTGGTGGTGATGGTGGTGGTGTCGGAGGGAGGTTCATGTCGTATACGCCGTCGCGGTCGGTGGCTCCGCCGGCTCCTCAGTCGCCTAACATCTCCGGTGGTCTCCGATCACAGCCCTGGGTCCTCGTTGAGCAGGAGAAGTAATTAAAACTTAGTTTGTTCTTATTCTTGTTACTGGTAGTTGATTTATCTGCTGATGGAGGCCGATCTTTGTTTTGCTGCTTGGATTTCTGAGATCTCGATGTTCCTCCGCAAATCTGGGTGTTTTGATCGGTTTTTTTCTTTTGGTGCGTTTTGAGTATGCTAGGATCCGTCGTTCTACGCTGATGCTGTGACCAGATTTCGATGTTATGTTCCAGTTCTTAGCTTTTGCCATTTAAGTTCAGATTTCTTTAAAGTTCATTCTACTTCAATTTGGCTTCACACAGTTCCTTTCTGTCAACTAACCATCGGATTTGTACTGACTAGGATGCTGAGAATCACTGGTTTTGTTCATTCTTCTATTTTTTATCTGTGTTCATGAATCCATAAAAACTTCATTTTTAGGGAGCTTGTTGTTAGATCCATCTCACCAAACAAGTTGCTTTGATGCTTGGATACTTATCTTTGGGTGAGGATTTGCCTGAGAAATGGGTAGTTGAATCTGAACAAAATGATTAATGTTTGAAATTCTTCGAGACGTAAATCTAACCGATATGGTTAACACTTATGTTCATTATTTATTCATGTTGAGCTTGTTGAGTGGAACTTGAGTCGATCCCTACGGGTACCCAATTTTCGGGTATTTTTGCCCATCCCTACTTGAGGGCATATGACTGGGGATAATTTTTCGCTTTTCCTCTTTGTCAGGTATCTTTCAGAGTTATTAGCACGGACCGAGCCAAATACGAAGCCACGGCTCGGTCATGGACCCAGAAATATGCAATGGGGTAAATCTCATAAATAATGATAGTAATAGTAATGCCCAAAACAAAATAGTTGCGGTGAATAAAAGCAGACAAGACATTGTGGGTGTTTGGTTTGTTTTACTACTTCTGTCCTTGGGTATCTCTTGGTATATGCTCCATGTGAGAGAACCTTTGATACTACTAGCCTTTTGTGTTGACACTATTGGTGCTGGCCGTCAATTATCTCCTATCTTACATATATACACACACACACACACGTGTGATTTGGAATTCTGTATTTATATAAATTTTGCCAATGAAATTAGCAAAAGAAATGATCTTTCGATGATTTTGCAACTCTACAAGTTTGTTCAAGGTCCTGATTGGATGTGATTTGGTTATTTTCGCACGAAAGCTCTCTTCTTCTCATATTTTATGGAATAAGGCGGAGATAATAAAACACACGGTTATTTATTAGCTGAACCACGGTGAGCCTCACTACTAAGATATTTTTCAATCTGCATTGCCGATTCTAAGCCTAACCTTCTGACCCAACCGCTAGTTCCACATTTTAACCGCTAGAGTTCATGGAATCTCACTTTAGCAGCCTTTGGCTTCCTTAAACTGTGTTAACAGCTTTTGGTTCTTCAGGCTGAGTTGGAAACAGAGAGACCACAATTGTGGAGACAAACAGATCACCTCACAATAAATCATTCCCTAAAGCAACTTCTACTCGAGAAATGTTCAATAAATGCATGTTAATGTTGTAGCCTTAAAAATTGTTAAAAGTTTAGAGAGTCTCTACACGGAGACGTATCCGTCATTGGACTTTGGCTTTCGATTCTTTTGTTTAGCATTTGACTTTAAGTCCGTTTTTTGGGAATAAATACTGACTTCTGTTTGGTGTCCATGGACAATCCATGTGAAATTGAGCTGATTAAAAGAACTTGTGTAACCTTCTGAGGGATCATAGGAGCTATTAATTTTGAGCAGAGCTTAATGTTCTCATTGTTTCTTGACCTGTTACATTCTGCTTAACTAGAGTAAGAGCGAGAAATTGATTCTTCACTAACTCTGTTAACTATGTTCTGTCTCCATTCAGTGGTCCATTGCTAACTGATTTGTTGACTAATTCTAACTGGTACGTCTTACTCTTGAAAATGACATTTTTGGAACAGAAATTTTGCGTGTAACCACACTGTTGGAGAATGCCTCGGTTTTAAGTCAGACTGGGCTTGATCGCCCTAGCCCTCTGGCTTCTGGAGGGATATTTCAGAATGCAAGAGCTGACGTGAACGGATGGGCTTCTCAGTTTCAATCAGAAGTATGACTGCTAACCATTAACATAAATGATTTCCATCAAATTCATATCGTTGCAAGAGAAGCTTTGTTGACTTAAGTTATGCTAACATAACCTGTTTGACTGCTTTTAATTGTAGTTCGTCGTGACAGGTTGCATGGGCTAACACTGAATATCAGTATTGTTGTACAAGGTCTTGTCTTAGGTTGTTACTAACCAGATACTCCATTGCCGGCAGGAGTTATATCAATGTTAGATGCAGCTGTGAAGTGTAAAAGTGATGCAGTGCTCATAGAATTGCAATCACTCTTATAATTATTAGGATAGCAGTTTCAGACCCAATGCTTCAATAGGCACTGCAAGTTTATGTGGAGAGAGATTAAATTTTCAATATTCTTTTGCCATTGATACTGCAAGTATATGTCTTGAACTTATGCTTAAAAGGGTAATGTGGTGTAACGGTTTCTTGAATGATCATTTGCAGAGATCAGTCTCATCGTCGCCAGCACCAAATTGGCTCAACTCTCCTGGTGGTAGCTCATCAGGTCTCATTGTCAAGCGAGAAATCAGGGTGGATATTCCTGTTGACAAATACCCAAATGTATGCACTCTTCTCTTCTCTCTGAGATCCTAGATTAAGAGTACCCAGGCGTATAACTCTAATTAGATTTTGCAGTACAATTTTGTCGGTCGCCTCCTGGGTCCTAGAGGAAACTCTCTCAAACGAGTTGAAGCGAGTACTGATTGCCGCGTTCTGATAAGGGGGAGAGGCAGCATCAAGGATCCAATTAAGGTACTTATATTTTCTTCTTTTTCTGACAATTGCCACTTCATTCCTGTCTCTATATATGTATGTTCCTGGCATTAGTTACAAGAAAACACTACGGAATTTGTATCTCTCATTGGTTAAAAAAAAATATTGCTTTCAACTAAACATTTCATTATTGCAGGAGGAAATGATGAGAGGAAAACCAGGATACGAGCACCTAAATGAGCCCCTCCATATCTTAGTAGAGGCAGAGCTACCCATTGAGATTGTGGATGCACGTCTCATGCAAGCTCGTGAAATACTCGAAGATTTGCTTACCCCTGTGGTCGGTTCTGCTATTCCTATAAGTTTTTTTTTAAATTAAAAAAAAAAATCGAATTCTAACCTCTCTTTCGCTCTGCTTTCGGTTTAGGACGAATCCCAGGATTTCTACAAGAAACAGCAGCTCCGAGAGTTGGCAATGCTCAACGGAAGTCTGCGAGAAGAAGGGTCACCAATGTCTGGTTCGGTCTCCCCTTACAACAGCCTGGGAATGGGCATGAAGAGAGCCAAGACCAGGGGATGATGATAGATGCTTGCCTCATCCAAATTTTGCTCTCTCTCTCTCTCACCTTTCTGAAAGGTTTTCGACTGTTCATCTCTCTCTCTCTACGCCTCAGCCTGCTGGTAATGTCTCTTGCCCCATACGTTTCGTCATGCTTATTTATCGTGTCCCGAAGAGATGAGACGACCGGGAATGAACAGGCAAAGAGAAGGGGAATGAGTCTGGTTTTGTCCTGAGACTTTGGGCTTTTGTGTCGTGCAGCTTAGGATGTTTGGTCCTTCAGATATTATTCTCTCGTCTCGTGTCATGTCACCAATTTCTTTGATAAGATGTTTTTGCTTACACCAGTTTTGCTTAAAAAAAACATTAAACGCTATATGGGTTCTTTTGTCGTTGTATTTGCATGCAACAAATCAATCGTATCACTTGTTGTTTAGATTTGCGAGAAGGATCACCATTTACGGCTTGCGATTCTCGATTAAGACTCGGACTCGGACTTATCAAGTGATCGTATGGCGAATCAAATGCTCAATTTCGAGATGAAGTGACCAAAAATGGCCGAAGAACAAGCTCTGGCTTCTCCTCCACCGGAATTGTTCACAGTCTAGAACAATGGAAGGGTTAATCACGTGCCTGCATGCATGCATGCATACGTAATTATCCAAAGGATAGGCCCAATGGGCTTCAATGTTAGGCCCAATGGGCCTTACTATCTAATCCACTTGAGTGCGTGAACAAGTGACGTTTCGCTCCTTCACACCGCCAAGGGAGGAATTTTATAGTGCGTCGACAGCAACTTCGTCTTCCAATTCCAGCAACACCTTTGGGATTTCCGAACGATCAAACAAAACCCTATCAGCAGAAATCCAAAAAAAAAAAAGAGATAGGTAAAATTCTTTGTGAATGAAGATTTCTCTTTCATTGTTGATCTGCTTCCTCTCCTCTTTTATTCCGATTCCGCTTGATCCCATGGTTCTAGACTTTTGTCAGTTAGGTTTTACTGGGCATCCTTTTTTATATGGTATGGAGCTGTGGATTCATCAGGTCTGATATGTCGCCTGATCAGTCGATGATCTGATTCTGTGTTTCGTCTGATGATCATTATGATCATTTGCTTGTCGGATCGGATTGTCTGTCTGGCTCTTTTTTTAGGGAGGGAAAACATCTTCTTTAGGCTGTAGTTTTTTTTTTTTTTGTGATTAATAATTTGTGGAATAGGTTTCATGAGGTTGCTGTGTAACTTCACGATCAGGCATCTGGATTCTGGAAGATTATTATATTATCGAGTCTTTCTGTGTGTATATATATATATATTTAACTTTATCTTCCTTGTAATTGTTTATACAGAATGGTACAGATGTTGATCCCATTTGTCCGTATTCTTATGAATATATTATCATTTTGCAGTGTTCTTACATTCCGCTGTTTTGTTTTTCCCAATTAGTCCGTGATTGGAGAATTTCTCTTTAATTAGATTACATATTTTACTTGTTGGGTGTTTTGTAGTAGAAGCAAGGACCAATTGACGCTATGGCATCCAAAAGAATTAACAAAGAGCTGAAGGACCTTCAAAAGGATCCTCCTGTATCATGCAGCGCCGGTGAGTTCTTGTTCCCCACCCACACACACACATATATTAAGTTCATTGTATAATTGGTATTGGTTTAAACCTCGAAGCCGTATACTAACTAACTAAGGTCCAAAGACAAGTCTAGATAGGTTTCGTAAGAGATCGCCTATTAGATAGCGTATGGTTTATATCCATTTGAAGTGATGATGGGTTCATAGCTTGTAATGGATTTTGGTAAAACACCGTACGGATTAGGTCCTGTGGGTGATGACATGTTTCACTGGCAAGCAACGATTATGGGGCCAACGGATAGCCCTTTCGCTGGAGGTGTTTTCCTCGTTTCCATTCACTTCCCTCCGGATTACCCTTTCAAGCCCCCCAAGGTTATATCTATATTTTTTTATATATAGACTTCATCTCTACTATGTTAAACATTTTTTTTTGGTTTTGGGGTAATGGAATGAATCCACAATTGTATGTAATGTTTTGTGTATAGGTCTCCTTCCGGACAAAGGTCTATCACCCAAATATCAACAGCAATGGCAGCATCTGTCTCGACATCCTCAAGGAACAGTGGAGTCCTGCCCTCACCATTTCCAAGGTTTTTTCATTTCCTCTCTCCTCCGTAACTTCTTATTGCCTTTCAATATTCAACGGAAACGTCCGATTTGGCTGGCATGATCATAACATGGACGGGCAGCCCGGTGCACAAAATATCCCGTTGAGTCCAGGGAAAGGTCCCACCACAAAGGGTGTAGTATAGGCAAATCTTATCTTGCAGAATATTCTACTAGTTAGAGACTGCTTCCATGATCATAACATGTAAGAATGCAGGTACTTCTGTCGATATGTTCATTGCTGACGGATCCGAATCCAGATGACCCTCTGGTTCCGGAGATAGCTCACACTTACAAGACGGACCGAGCCAAATACGAAGCCACGGCTCGGTCATGGACCCAGAAATATGCAATGGGGTAAATCTCATAAATAATGATAGTAATAGTAATGCCCAAAACAAAATAGTTGCGGTGAATAAAAGCAGACAAGACATTGTGGGTGTTTGGTTTGTTTTACTACTTCTGTCCTTGGGTATCTCTTGGTATATGCTCCATGTGAGAGAACCTTTGATACTACTAGCCTTTTGTGTTGACACTATTGGTGCTGGCCGTCAATTATCTCCTATCTTACATATATACACACACACACACACGTGTGATTTGGAATTCTGTATTTATATAAATTTTGCCAATGAAATTAGCAAAAGAAATGATCTTTCGATGATTTTGCAACTCTACAAGTTTGTTCAAGGTCCTGATTGGATGTGATTTGGTTATTTTCGCACGAAAGCTCTCTTCTTCTCATATTTTATGGAATAAGGCGGAGATAATAAAACACACGGTTATTTATTATTTCGATAAATAAATAAAATGCCGTCATCATGACGTAAGCGATGGGAGAACGTGCAGTATGAGCACAGAGATTGTGGATGAAAGCGACATGTCGGCCGTTGGGGAAGAATATCCAGAAGCAGAAGAGTAGAATTTTGAAAAGACAGAGGGCCGCTTCAAAAAGGAAAGAACCCTCCTCTTCCTTCCCTTCGATCGTCTTCCCTGTTGAATTTTTCCTGATTTTCTCTGCATTTCTTTTGGTCTGCGATTTCTGAAAGTCTCACACTTGATTCGACGTAACAATCGTTTACGGAACTGGTCGTTCCCATCTCGTCGTTTCGATTCCGTTTCGGATGCCGACTCTCGTCTCCTTTCTAGGGTTTTGTTGAGTTCGTGGCCTGGCATTTGCCCAACTTCGCAATTCGATCGAAGGTCACGCTCTCAAGTTTGTCGGATCCTTTGGGCGTCTGCTTCTGAAGATGTCAGGTACGTTGTCTTTAGCCCCAAACCACCGTTCTTATGTTGTTTCCATCGACGACTCGGTTTTACCCTAAGAGTTTTGATGAATTCGCAGGCTGTGATGAGATTAGAGAGATAATATCAGATGCTGAGGATGAAACACGGTGCTCGAGGATCGTGAATCTGAAGAAGAAAGCCGTTAGTTGTTCAGGTAGATTTACTCATACTTTGAAGAGGAAAGGCAAGAGGAAAATCGATGACCAGATTCATTCTATACACATCGAGGACCCGAGGGATGAGAAAGAGGAGAAGATCGTTCTCGAATTCAGACAAGTCCTACTTGATCGAGATTTGCTGCCTCTCAGACATGATAATTACCATTCTTTGTTGAGGTTGGTGTAATAATCCTTCCCTTTACCAGTCTTAAGATGCTTAATCTTCTCCCAGCATGCTATATGTATATACATTAGTCTATATGGTTGTATAGTTTATGTTTTCGTCGTACTCGAAACTTGTAGATTTCTGAAAGCTATGAACTTCGCTATCGAGAGAGCTCTCACGGCGTGGGAAGAAATGATTAAATGGAGGAAAGAGTTTGGAACAAATACCATATTAGAGGTAAAGAATATGGCTTCTACCATTACTTTGATGCTCGGTTATGGTAATGAGCACCATGTTAGGATTTACTTGATTAATCGATAGGATTTCAACTTTGAAGAATTGGAAGAAGTATTAAGGTACTATCCTCAAGGGTATCACGGCGTTGACAAAGAAGGACGGCCTGTCTATATCGAGAGACTGGGAAAAGCTCATCCGAGTAAGCTTATGGGTGTGACCACCATAGATCGATATCTGAAGTACCATGTACAGGAATTCGAGAGGACCCTACTCGAGAAATTCCCTGCTTGTTCAATTGCGGCAAAGCGGCAAATCAGTTCAACAACCACGATACTTGATGTTGAAGGCCTGGTATGGTAATCTCTTTATCTTGATAGTGTAGATTATATTTTGAGTTGACGTAATTCCGGATGATATAAATTAGTGCAGGGTATGAAGAATTTTACGCCTACCGCTGCAAATCTCCTAGCCGCCATTTCTAAAATAGATTGCAGTTATTACCCTGAGGTAACTACTAACTCTTTGGAGAAGAAGACCCTTCTTGTTCTACTCAAATCTGAGATGAACGGAGAAGGAGATATTCGGTCTGGTGTTTCCAGAGTTTGTAATCATGGTCTCTGACTCTTGCAGACTTTGCACCGAATGTTCATTGTCAATGCAGGAATCGGATTCAGGAATTTGCTTTGGCCTGCTGCCCAGAAGTTTCTTGATCCAATTACTATTTCAAAGATACATGTAAAGATTATCGATCCTAGAAGTTTCTTTTTATTTGTTGCAAACAGCTGGCCGCTCATTACTGAAAGGACGGTTTTCAGGTTTTGGAGCCGAGATCATTGTCAAAGTTACTACAAGCAATTGATTCCAGGTCGATTTTAAATCACCTCATTCATGCAGTGGTTTATACTAAACGGTGTTAGTATATATACATTTTGTATGCACACAGTGAGCTTCCAGATTTCTTGGGGGGATTATGCAAGTGTTCTAACAAGGGAGGGTGCTTGAGGTCTAATAAAGGACCATGGAATGATTCTGAAATACTCGAGGCATGTTTTTTTTTTTTTTTTTTTTTTTTTTTTTTTTGTATATTGGTGTAAGCCATTATGTTTTTTGTGATTATGTATGTCTCTTATCACCAACTAGCCATCTCTTTTGCAGCTTGTACACAGTGTTGAATTAACGCCTTTTCCGCAAATTGCAAAACCGCCAATTCTTCAAATGGATTATGATGCGCTCGAATGTCCGAGCTCACCCAAGGTAAGGTCTCTCCTTGTGTTCTTTTGGAGTTTTCTCGTGCTATAATGGTGGGGTTGTAAGCTTTTTCTTTTCAGGAAAGATGCAACGGCGTTTTAACAGAGAGATTCAATCCATGTTCGAAAGATCCTTTCTGTTCAAATGGGCTGAGTTCTTCAACATACACTTGTTTAGCTCCAATCTCTGAAGAGGCAAATTGCAGTGTCCTGCCGCTCATGGATCTGTTTTTTTTCCCTCTAAAAATATAATCTTTCTATCGGTATTGGCTGACTTATTTTGTTTTGTGCAGGCTAGCACATCAGAACGAACCTGTGGAGAATGGCCTCAGGCTCAGTTGCTTGACCCGAGTCGGACAGGTGACCTTCCTCTCATCGATTTGGACATGATTTCCTCTTGCTTTAGTTCGGTACCATAACCAAAGACATTCATTTGCTATTTTGCCCAAATCTTGCATCCTTAGGTCCTCGAGCAGTTGGGTGGTTCGGCACTGTTAAGGAAATGATCAGCAGAAGATATCTCCACTCTGCACTGAAAGCACTGGCAACTTTTCTGCTGAAACTAGTTGCTCCTTCTCGTTTCCTGTGGCCTTGTAACTGCAGAAGAAATAGCCAAATCGACATGTCCAATCCATTGGACAGAAGCCGGATTCTTCAGTGCGTGGATCGTCTTCAGAGGCTGGAGATTGAGTTGGAAGAACTCAAGAAAAAACCCGTGACGATACCATCCGAGAAGGAGAAACTTCTAATGGAATCGCTCGAGAGGATCAAGACGCTGGAACAAGACCTCGATAAAACGAAAAGAGTAGGCGGATCTATCATATATTTCTGAGAAATATTGGATGTGATTTTGTTATCGAACGAATAGAAAGATAACCCTCCTTTCCTTTTTCAGGTAGTAAACGACACAATATCGAAGCAGCTCAATATTACAGAAGCCCTAGAAGCTAAACATCAAGTGAGTTTCTTTCCCCCCTCCAGAAAAAAATAGTTTCAGCTTTTTAAAGAAAACAGAAGAAGATATATAGTTGTGTTCCTGTCTTAATGTCTGAATGAGAACCCAACAAGGGCTTTTGTCCTCTCCTTTTTTTTTACGTTGGCAGCGAAGAAGAAGAACACTCTGCTGCAAATGAAGCCATGCATGAAGAAGAACACACTGCCCATTTTGCAGAAACGGTAAAAAGAAAAAAAAAACTTTGACGATTATTCAACATGGTAAGTGTACATAACGTTCATTGAATTGAAGTTACTTCTGTAATTTATCTTCGTATTTTTATTTCACTAAAACAGTGGTATTGTTTCAACGGTTTCGTTGTTAAGTTACTTGTTCTCTCTTTCTATATTAAAATTTTTAACCCCTTAATTAAACATTGTACGACGTCCAAGTATAATGATCTATTAAAAGGGTGATTTAGTAATGATTAAAAACGTTGGGCAATCAAGAAACAAAACGGAAACTGTCAGGGCATTGTTTGCAAACTGCTCAGTTTTTAATTTATCATGGCGTTTTTTTAAGCAAGTCCGACAAACAACATTACATGTAATTTCATAAAATCTTGATTTCAACCGGCCACCTTCCCTCTCTCTCCCTAGACAGTCCTCGTGGCTAGCCATAGCTCCCTCCCTCCTACCCAAAGGCGTGGCCTTTTACAGATCTCTTCGTCAGAAATCCTGCTGCTGCAACAACCATGGAGCTAAAAATCTTCTCTAAAGTTGTTCTCTTCTGTCTTGTTAGTGCAGTCTATGCACCTCTCTCTTCTTCAAGTTTCATCTCAGGTTCTTGTGTTTCCCGGCAGTTTTTTGTTTTGGTTGATCCGTTTCTCGATCACGTGATTCGGTTTTATTCATGTGTTTCTGCAGATGGTGTGTTCCAACCTCAGACTTCGGTTACCGGCAGAAACCTCCTTCAGGCCATGAAACGTTAGTCTCTCTCTCTCTCTCTCTCTCTCTCTCTCTCTCTCTCTCTCTCTCTCTCTCTCTCTCTCCTGTCATGTTACCAAAACACTTGATTTTGTTAGCGCCGTGAAACTTTTTTCTCTCTCTCTCTCTCTCTCTCTCTCTCTCTCTCTCTCTCTCTCTCTCTCTCTCTCTCTCTCTCCTGTCATGTTACCAAAACACTTGATTTTGTTAGCCGGAGATCCTGTGGAGCTCTGCTCTCTGAATATGTATATGCTTACACCCCCCATTATATATATATATATGCTCACGTGTCTTCGGGTTCAAACTTGAGTCTTTGAGTCCTGGAAATGTGAGCTAAAGGGCTTAACTTTTCTCAAGTTTCATCGGTTTTTTTGCCGCTTTCGACAGTGTGTGGTTATATTAAGTCATAAGCCAATGAACTCACTGGTAAATTTGAAAAAATGTTCATATGTACCTGGAATTGCCATAAAGTTGCGAACTTTTCAGTCTATCTCCTGTAGTTTCTGGCAGAATTCAGAGGCATTGTCAATCTATCTCCTGACAACACTCCTCCCAAGTGGAGATTCTGTCTGAAAGTCTCTTTCTTGGTCAAGGATCAAGACAAATTATTCTCCATCTTGTTAACGTAGTAATTCCCTCTCCACTGGTCTTTTTGAAACAGCTTGTCCAGTGAACTTCGAGTTCATGAACTACACTGTCATAACAGGCAGATGCAAAGGTCCAGAGTACCCACCAAAGGAATGTTGCTCATCTCTCAAGGAATTTGCTTGTCCGTTCGCCAAAGTCCTCAACGATCTGAGCAACGATTGCGCCATCGTTATGTTCAGTTACATCAGACTACACGGGAAATACCCTCCCGGCCTCTTCGCCCACGAGTGCAAGGAAAGTAAAGAAGGCCTCGCCTGCCCTGCCCGTCCCCCTGCCCCGGCTTCTCGCAAAAATGCCGCTGCTCTAACTTCTCCTAGTCTTTGGCTGATGATCCCGACTGCGTTCTTGCTGTTCATCGAGTTGTTCTGATTGCTCTCATCTTCCTGAATTTCCTGTGAAGTTAAAAAACAGATACCTTTGGACCGCACTTACCCTTGACGAGAGTCTCTCTCCAACTGTTTACCACGCACTGTTACATTCTTTTGGTCAAAACTTCGAATTCTTCATGACTGCATATGGCTATGTGTATATCATCAACACTATATTATTGCTTTACTCTTACTGCAATTCTCTGTCTTAAGATTATTACATCAGAGCCTATTCAAGTAAATAAGATCAAACCAGAGAATATGGTAAATAAGTACATGGTGTTTGCTACCAGTGCTTACCAGACAGTGCCAAAAGAGATTTGTGCATACTCCAAGATTCACGTTCTATGTTACCACATCTCTGTGTTCTCTATAACTGTCACTGGAATACCAAAGTCTATACCACTACTCCTTACCATAACATTACAGGGTTATTTTGTGAACCCGACACTATGTATGCTACAACATGACAAGTAATATATCTCGGATTATTTTGATGGCTGAGGGAGTACCTATACACTCTCGGACTGATTTGAGTATCCCATGATTTTTTTTTTTTGGGGGGGGGGGGGGGAGGGGGA